CTATCGCTGAATGAGCTGCAATCTGTCAAACTGGCGATGGTGATGTCAGCTCTCCAAGATGGTGGCCGCTGGCTTCCTCGGTGGGCTGACCGTTGTGGAGGACAGAACTGGACCGCTTCCTTCCCCGTCTCAAACCCAGAACTCAGCCCGGAGCACAGTGAGGGCACAGCTGGCAGGAGCCCATAGAATCTGCAGCACCGTTTCTCTGCGTTGCTAGCACGCCGTTTCCCAACAGCGGGGTGGGCCGCTGAACAAACAGCTTGAATCTCCGGGCGGACAGTTCACTCGCGGTTGAGCCCCAGTAACCGATCCTCGGGCGATGGAAATCCTTCCTCTAGGTTTCGGTGCACCCCAATTTTGCTGGAAATTCCTAACAAGATAGCTTTTGGCCGTTCTAACTCGTCATTCACCCGCACAGGGTGATGCATTCCATTTGCCGCCATCTTCTCTCCCATCTTTTAAAAAAATTTTTAATATTTATTTTTCAGTTTTTGGCGGACACAACATCTTTGTTTGTATGTGGTGCTGAGGATCGAACCTGGGCCGCACACATGCCAGGCGAGCGCGCTACCTACCGCTTGAGCCACATCCCCAGCCCGGCACTTTTTCTTGATCATCTGTGGGTCAAACTTATCTTAATTTCCCAGGATGCAAACTAGTGATGAACCTGGCAATACTGTTGAGATCGAAGCTTCCTCCCATCTGGGTTTTTGGAGACCTCTCTCCATGAGCTTCTGTCAATCTGGCACATCAACTCTCAGCACCTGGACCTGCCAATCCTCATGGTGGCTGGACTGGCAGGTCCTAGAGTTCTCAGTTGCACTGTGCCAGAGACCCAGGAGAATTCAGAGTTAAGGGCATTTACTGATCTTCTCACTGCACTATATATTTTCTAATTCTGAAAACTGACCAAAAGGGAGCGGGAAGAAGAAGAAGATGGGGAAAAAAAAACACCCCAAAACCAAAAAAAACAAAAAACAAAAAACAAACAAAAAAACACCTGTACACTCCTCTGTTCTGTGGATTTAAGAATCACTGGAGGGTAAGGGAACATCATCAAATGGTTATTAGGCAGAAAAATGCCCTTTTTCCTGGAAAAGTTTGTTGAAGGGGTTGATTAAAAAAATGCCTCCCTCTTACAGCTTTAAAAAAAAAATACATTGAGCACAGGAACAGTCATGGGGATATCCCAAACAGGCTAGTAAAGGCTTACTATGCAAAGAAAGGGAACCTGGGCATTTTACTAACAGTTCTCACCCTAGAGTCTGAGTGATGGTGTCTGATCAGTGAAGGAGGAGCACAGAGGAGGGATTGGATTTGGGGAGTGTGCTGGGGCCCTGTGGCAGTGAGTGTCCTTGGTGTATTCCGTCAGGACCATATTTCAGCAATCAGAGTTTGGCTCCCAACGTGGGAATGTGTTTACCCCACTGCAAGTACGGTTTATTCTGAAGTATGGGTGAAGCAGGCTCCTTACCTGAGCTGGTTTAATCGTTTGCTCTTTAATCTTAATTGCTTTTATTGCCATATACCAAATTTTCTATGCACTTAATTATATTTCCTTGTTGTCTTTCAATTTTCTTGATGGAAAAATGAATTGACAGAGTTAAAATGGGAAGTAGCCTTGGCCCTGTAGCCGCAGGCTCTTCCCAAGTGATGCAAGTCTCTCTGCTTCCTTTCCAGTCAGGTCTGACCTGACACCCATCTTCTCCTAGGTGAGGTTGGCTGCCTTCGCACCAAGTATGTAATTCCTCACACAAGCTTGTAACTGTGTCCATCACAAGATGCAGAAAGGGCCTCCTGAGAGCAGAAAGAAAACAGGGCCTGGTTTGGAAAGCCAGGGTCTCTTCTGCCTAAAAGGATATTTCCCCCGCCCCTCACTAGGATAGGTCCCTTTGCAGTGAGGAAATTTTCCTGAAAAGGGCTTTTGCCAAGATTCAGTTCTTCTGGCTTTCTTTATCCAGGAGTCTGCGACATCTCCTGTCACTCACAACCCCATATGTGCATATGTGGCTGGGGTGAGAGAGGGGTCTTGTGGAGCCCTGGCCAGTCAGCAGGCAGCTGGTGGGAGAGGGGGCCTTCCACAGTCTCAGAGTCCTTCATCTCTCACCCTGTGCAGGTCAGAATCCATCTCCAGGACTGTGTCTTCTCTGCTGTGTGAGGCCCAAGTGGCTCTGGCTCAGATCTGTCTCCCTGTGACCTGAAGATGCTATGAGGTCCACAGGAAGGATGCCAGGACTCCCCAGAAGGCAGGAAATGGTGAGTGTGTGGGGCCAGGACTGCTCAGGGAGGGTGGGCTGGTTAGAACTGGTGGGAACCAGCTGGAGTGGACTCTGTCAGTGTGCAATGAAGGCAGGCAATTTTCAGGGGATTTTGACTTGGGGATGGGCTTTCTATGTGGAAAGTTATTGGCCAAGGGGGTCACTGTCCCCACTTTTACCCCAGGAGTCACTCACCTTTCCCACCCCATCTTCGACATGTGTGGAAAACAGGGTCTCAAGTTCCCTTTCCTCTCCCAGCCTAGCCCCTCTTAGGGCTGGTGGTAGACCCCTAATCGTATACCCTGTCTACACCTTTCCAGACTCCAGCTCCTCCTCCAGTTCACAGCATCGTCATCTGTTCCCTCACTACATTCAAGTGGGCACAGTATTTTAATTATTAATTTTTCACTGAAAATTTCTTTCTTGTTTGTGAATATCTGCCACGAGGGCAAAGTAGAAAAGAGTCTTGTGGAGCTCCACTGTGGAAATTCTTGGGTCTGTCCTTTGTTTTCCCAGGACAGATACCTTAATATCTTTGGGCACAGGTTCCCTTTGGACACTTTGCAAAGGCTTGTGTCCTGAGCCACTATCCTGGCCTTTCCTGGGGCTGCCACAAGGTGCCCACAGTTGCCCTGTGTCCTGCAGGTGCAGGGAATTTCAGCCTGGGTCAGCTCCTCCTAGAGGACAGCATGAGTTTTGGGGTGCAGCCTCTCAGAGGAGCAGCTGGGGGCCTTGGAATTGAGGAATCTCCTGTAACAGGCCTCATCTAGACTGCTGCCTCCTTGGGACATTGTCTCCTCAGAGCCCTGTTCTGCTTTCTTGGAGACAGGTAGACAGTCAGCCTGTAGATGCTGGTACTGAGGAGCCAGGTGAGCAGTGATTTCTATCACAAGTTGTGAAGGATCAAAAACTGAATCACCCACCCCAGTGCAGTGCTATGCAAACCTGAAAAGCTTCACACAGTGGAATCAAGGTCTCCTGGGAGGGTGATCATGGAGACTATCAGTGAGCAGGACCAGGTGGGAGGAACCCCAGCTGCAGGAAACTTACCTGCCCCTTGAGCCCAACATGTCTGTGTTCCTTCAGCACCAACCCTATCTGTGTTTCTGACTTTAAAATAATCTGCTTTATAGATAAATGCAATATTGGAATTCATTGTGATGTATTTATACAGCACATAATATAGTTTGTTCCATTTTATTCAACAGTTCCTCTCTAAATATTAAAAAGTTCTGGGGATGTGCCTGAGTGGATAAGTTTCCCTGGGTTCAACACCAAGTACCAAAAAAAAAAAAGACATTAGAGTTATTTATAGTAAAAACATGCCAAGTTGATGAAAACTCTTGCTGAATTTCAGTTTAGACTTCATTATATTTTGAGACATATTGAGAACTCTTTGGCTTTGTGTCCCTCCAGAGGTGCTGGGACACAGAAGACACTGTGCTGATTGCTGTGGACCTCCACCAGGCCACCTCATGATTGCACAATCATCTCTCTATTCACATGATCCTGGATGGCACAGCCTCTTATACACCTAGGCTCTGTGGTATCAGTGGTTCCTGGGCCACAAACCTCCCCAGCATGTTGCTTTACCAAATCCTGCAGTTGACAGTGCATTAGTTGTTATACCAGCATCACTGCACACACAGAGTCCCCTTACTACAGACAACCCTGTATATGTGGCCTATGTGACCAAACATGTTTGTGAAGAAAACATTTTTGTGTGGCTCCTCACTGTGTGTTAGAAAACCAGCAGTCTCTGGTTCAGACAATGTTGACAATTGTTACACAATTTTTTTATACCTACTAGGCTTGGCAAATTACTTCTTGACCACTATGAAGTCTATTTTGGAGATTTCTAAAATTCTGTAAGGCTATCATTTGAAAGAGGTGACCTTTGTTGACACTGAGTTATTCCTACGACACATGCATCTTTCCACTTACCCTATTCTGCTTTGATATTATTAGTACTATTAAAAATTTGTTGTTTAAGAATTATTGTTCTTGTGTGCTGCTTGCTTAGACTTGGTCTGGAGTAAACAAGTTGTGGTCTTCTAATTTTTCTCAGTCCCCAGTGAACACATTGTGACTACCTGGATTAAATATTGTCTACTAGGAAGCTCCAAATCTCCTTGAGTATAGGGTTTGTTTTTTCACTTGTTTATTTTCAGATGGGTGATTCTTTAGGTTCTAAGGTAACAGTGGAACAAAATAATAAGATTTCTGAAGGAAGGCCGGAGGTTCAGTAATGAGTATGTTTACCTACAGTCTCAGCACTATGACCAGTGTTACTGGTTAGTTTGGTGGGATGCCTTCCACGTCCTTAGCTCTCTCTATTAGAAAAAGCCAAGCTTTATCAGTAGGGACTTCTTAGGGTAGATACTCTCAGGATACTAATGTTAGATCTTCTCTGCACATGAAGTAGGAGACCTTCAATATTCCATGTATTAGATAACCTGCAGAGGATTTAGGGGTGACCAGGAGCATGCCTTACTCACTGGACTCTACAACAAGAAGGGTGTGTTTGCTCTGCTGATGCTTTTCTGGATAGTTCAGGCCTTAAATTGGAATCCCTCTGTTTAGGTAAGTGAGTGCACAATAAGAGTACATGTTTTGATGACAAAATCATAGAATAAATATTTGGAGACCACAGAAATGTGAGAATATCCTACATGATGAGAATAGAGCCCTAATGCTGTCAATCTCTCCTGGCCTGCACTACACTTTTCTGGAATACTTTAGAATTTGGTGGCCTTTGAGGATGTGGCTGTGAACTTCACCCAGGAGGAGTGGGCTTTGCTGGATCCTTCCCAGAAAAATCTCTACAGAGATGTGATGCAGGAAGTCCTTAGCAACCTGGCTTCTATACGTAAGGATGCTTTTTTCATTATATAACCAAACACTGAGTAATTGGGAGATTGTTTTGTTGTTGTTGTTGTTGTTGTTTTTCCCCAAATCAAGGATTGAACCCATGGGTGTTTAATCACTGACCCACATCGATATCCCTTTTTTTGTACTGTATTTAGAGACAAGGCCTCCATCAGTTCCTGAGGGTGGCTTTGACTTTGAGACTCTTCTTCCTCAGCCTCCCAAGCTGCTGGAATTACAGGCATTGGCCCCAAGGCCTGGCAAGTGGGAGTTCCATTCTCATGAATTTGGAATGTGGAATGATAATGCATGGGGAATATATTGGGCCTAATGTCTTGCACTCTGCAGCATAAATCGCATATTCTTTTTCCTTTTTCTTCATTTTCATTTTTGCATTAGGTTTGTTTATAGTTTTAACCTCATAATTTTCTTCTGAAATCTTGATAATTCATAATGATTGTTTCATGTCTACATTTTAGGAGACAAATGGGAAGATGAGAACAGAAATCCCATGAGAGATCTAAGGTAATTGTGTCCACTAGAGGAAACAGAGTGTCTGGAGGGAATTGTAACATGTCCTATAATTTTACAAACAAGTAGATAAAATACCCATGATATGAATTATAGTTATTCTTATTTAACCATAAATATGAGCTTTAATGTAAGATACATGTTTAGTGTTTTCAAAAATAAGTCATTTGTTGACAATGTTGAAAAATGCTGTCCTGATACCATTGTTTTGGTACTAGCTATGAGAATCAATGTTACAAAGTCATCCTTACATTTAGTTTCAAACAGTTTGGACATGACAGAAAAGTAATACTTTCCCTGACACTGGTAATAGTGTAAGTGTAAAATCAACTAATGAATATAAAAGCATTAATGAGCCATATAATGTTTCCATATAATGTTTTTACAGAAGTCATATGGTAGGTTCTGGAAAAATATAAACAGGCACTTATTGTGGAAGAACTTTTAGTGAGATTCCAAAGCCTAGTCTTCATCAGAATTTGGACAAGTCTTCATATATCTCTTTTTCCTTAATAGGCACGTTATATCTCACTCTGCAAAGAAAGCATGTAAGAATGAGGAGAATGGAGGGAAGCCATATAAACTTAAACTGAACAAAACATCTTTAATTTCTTGTACAAGTGTTCAAAGACAAGCATCAGTGCACACTGTAAATGAATCTTATGAATGTCTGACATGTGGAAAAGAATGTAGTTGTTCCATATATTTTCAAAAATACCAACAATCTCATACTGGAGAGGTAATCTACAGATGTAATCAGTGTGGGAAAGCCTTCAGTCATTCCTCTTACCTTCAAGTACATAAACGAATTCATACTGGAGAGAGGCCCTATGAATGTAAACAATGTGGGAAAGTCTTCAGTCGTTCCTCTTACCTTCAAGTACATAAACGAATTCATACTGGAGAGAGGCCCTATGAATGCAAACAATGTGGGAAAGCCTTCAGTTGTTCCTCTTACCTTCAAGTACATAAACGAACTCATACTGGAGAGAAGCCCTATGAATGTAAACAATGTGGGAAAGCCTTCAGTCGTTCCTCTTGCCTTCAAAGACATAAACAAACTCATACTGGAGAGAAGCCCTATGAATGTAAAAAATGTGGAAAAGCCTTCAGTAGTTCCTCTTACCTTCACATACATGAACGATTTCATACTGGAGAGATGCTTAATAGATGTAAACGATGTGGGAAAGTGTTTGCTACATCCAGTCAGCTTCATTCACATGAATGGACTCATAATGGAAAGAAACCCTATCAGTGTGAACAATGTGGGAAAGCCTTCATATATTGTTCTTCCTTCCATCGACATCAGCGAATTCATACTGGGGAGAAACCCTATGAATGTAAGGAATGTGGCAAAGCCTTTACTTATTCCTTTTATCTTCAAACACATAAACAAACTCATACTGGAGAGAAGCCTTATGAATGTAAACAATGTGGAAAAAGCTTCAGTTGTTCTTCTTACCTTCGTAGACATAAATTAATTCATACTGGTGAGAAGCCCTATGAATGTAAGCAATGTGGGAAAACCTTTACTTATTCCTTTCATCTTCAAACACATGAACGAATTCATACTGGAGAGAGGCCCTATAAATGTAAAGAATGTGGGAAAGCCTTCAGTTGTTCCTCTTACCTTCAAAGTCATAAGCGAACTCATACTGAAGAGAAGCCCTATGAATGTAAACAATGTGGGAAAGCCTTTGTTTGTTTGAGTTACCAATTGCAACATGAACGAATTCATACTGGAGAGAAGCCCTATGAATGTAAACAATGTGGGAAAGCCTTTGTTTGTTTGAGTTACCAATTGCAACATGAACGAATTCATACTGGAGAGAAGCCCTATGAATGTAAACAATGTGGGAAAGCCTTCAGACGTTCCTCTTACCTTCAAAGACATAAACAAACTCATACTGGAGAGAAGCCCTATGAATGTAAACAATGTGGGAAAGCCTTTGTTTGTTTGAGTTACCAATTGCAACATGAACGAATTCATACTGGAGAGAAGCCCTATGAATGTAAACAATGTGGGAAAGCCTTCAGACGTTCCTCTTACCTTCAAAGACATAAACGAACTCATACTGGAGAGAAGCCCTATGAAGGTAAGTAATGTGGTAAAGCCTTCACTACTTCTTCTTATCTTCAAAGACTAAACAAAGTGACACTGTCAAGAAGCCCTATTAATGTAAATAATTGGGAAAAGCCTTCACTACTTCCTTTACATTTAAATACATAAACTCAAACTTGAGAAACACCCTATGAATGTAAACAACGTAAAAAAGTCTTTGGTAGATCCAGTCAGCTTCATTCACATGAACGAACTCATAAAGGAAAAACACCCTATGGATGTAAATAATGGAAGAAAGCCTTCTATAGATCTTCTCACCTTCACAGACATGAAAGACCTCATTCTTCAGAAAAGCCCGATGGATGTAAACAATTGGGAAAGCCTTCAGTAGTTCCTCTTGCCTTCACATACATGAACAATTTCATAAAAGAGAAAAGCCTTGTGGTCATAAACAATGTGGGAAGGCCTTCAGTACTTCTGCTTACCTTCAAATGTGTGAATTAACTCATTAGAGAGAAGCCTTTCTAATGGAAGCAGTGTGGGAAATCCTTCACTACATTGAGTCACTTTTATTTACTTGAAAGAACTCATGCTGGAGAAATGCCTTGTGAATGTAAACAATGTGGGAAAACCTTTGCTTGATACAGTAACATTTTAAAACATCAAACAACTTATGCAGGAAAACAATCCTTACTAAAGAAAAAAACGTGAAATGACTTGATTTTTGGGTTCTGTTTTAAACCTGAGAGTAATTGTATTGTAGAAAAGCCCATTGAATGCAAATAAATAAATAAATAAAAAGAGAAATAATTTAATATTCTCAGTCACCTTCAATAACATGAAAGTATTCATGGAAAAGTTGTTGAGTGTGTGTGTGTGTGTGTGTGTGTGTGTGGTGTGTCTGTTTACATCTCCACATAAACCTAATGTAGAATGATGGATTGTTCCTGGAGGGGCAGAGGCATACAGGGCAAAACTTCTGGCATAAGTAGCAAGTTGCAGGTTTAAACAGGTCATGAAACCTCAGAGGTCTTGCAGAGCATTTATGGAACATGAATTGTGAAAGAGATTTTGTGAGGATCCCAGTTAAACCACCATGTCTAGATTTTTTTTTCTAAAGGTTGACTGAAGAAATCCAGGGCTAAAAGGTAGGAGGGTGCTGGGGCTGCTCCTGCAGAGGTCCTAGAAGTGGTGGCGGAACCCGGTGAGACAGACGGTTCCCTGTGCCTAGACCGGGCTCCGGACTCCAGAGGTGTCCATGCCCCGCAGGGGTTTCCAAGATGCATCCATCACAGTGATGAAAGGGAACCAGCAGATTCTGCGATGAAGCGACCTGGGAGCGATAAGAGCGCAGACTTATCCCAGGCCATGTATTTTCCTCCAAGAGGCCTGTGCGCTCCTCTCCAACAACGCGGAATTCAGGGCAGGGGCATTTCCCACCCGTGCTAGGTGGCTATCACCCCCAGAGGGCGGCGAGACGCACGCCATGGTGACCCTCGAGCCCACATTGGCTGCAGCGATCTCATTCCTTCCCCTGCCTCCCGTTCCCTCTCAAGGTGTCTGGCTGGGAAGTCCAGCTCCCCGACACTCACCCAGTGCCCAGTCCATGCGCTCGTAGTCTGAGGTCTGCTCGCCCAAGCCTTGATCGCCCAGCGCCCCAGCCCACGGCTCCTGGTCCTTCCTGCGCCTATTGCAGGGCACCTGCTGGGGACGCCAGCTGTGCCAGTCCATCCGGTGTGGCAGCGGGTGGTGGTAACACCCCTGTACCGCGCTGCCCGACACTGGGCAGCGCTTGCTTGACTTTATTGGTTAATTTAGTTGGGGGAGTTAAACCACGGGCGCTGGGGTTACAGGGGGGCGCACCTCGCCGGGCTCCCGGCTTGGCTGTCACTCGGGGGTACAGCACTGATTTCAGTTGGGCAAGGCCGAGGCTTCTGTCCTGCGCTCTCTCCTGGAGAGTTGGCTTCTGCACACTGAGAAAGGGATTGGCCTGCAAGAAATGAAGGAGGAGTACCTTACCCAGCCGTTCTCTCTCTGTCCTCCTCCCTGGCACTCTTCTCCCTCACCTCTCCTCAGGTACCCCCACCTCCAGCACTCCCCCAGCCCCCTCCACTCTCTGCTCTTCCTCATCCCCCACTTCCCCTCTTCCCTACCCCTCCATCCTCCTCATCTGACCCCTTTCTCCTCTTCCTCCACCTCTTCCTCTTCCTCCCTCTCCCCCTCCTCCTCTTCCTTCTTTTTCTTTGTACTGGGGATTGAACCCAGGGCCGCTTTACCACTGAGCAAAATCCTTATCCCTTTTTGTTTTTTTTTTTTTGAGACAGGGTCTCCCTAGTTGCTGAGAACTTTAGATCCTCATGTCTCAGTCTCCTGAGTTGCTGGATTGCAGGTGCACATCACCAGGATTGGCCCCTCTTACTCTTATTTCTTCCACCTCTGGGTACTGAGTTGGGATTGAGAAAGCAAACAAGATGCAAAACCTTACCAGGCTTGTGCTGATTGCTGATGTGCACATGCCCCCTCCTCTACAGGTGAATGGTTGAGGATCCTATCATTGGTCCCCTCCAGAATTTTGTGTGCATCTTTCTAGATAAATTCTTTGCCTCTGTTTGGGTTTTGGGGGCATGCTTTTTTGAGGATGGTTCTGTTCACAGCACTGAGCAGAGCAGTGGACAAGATGAGCAGCTTGCTAGCCCCTGCCAGCTTCCTTAGTGGGTGTGTGCATGACATGCCCAGGGTTACCCTCTTCACAGCATCACAAGGTGTGCATGTCTGGCCCATGGCTTGCTTCCTTCTCCTTGAACGCATCAGGAGCTCTTTGGGTGCCACTGGTGATTCCTCTTCATGGTTTTCCTTTTTCTTTTTTTGCCTTGCTAGTGATTGAACCAGGGCCTTGTGCATTGCTAGGCAAGGCTCTGCAGGTGAACTACATCCCCAGCCCTTTGTTTAAAAAAAAAAAAAACAACTTTATTTGAGACAGGCTCTTGCTAAATTACCCAGGGTTATATGAGGCAGAATAGAAGAAACAAGAAATTGGTGGAAAGGATACAAAAGGAAGGACAAGAGAATGAGAATTTAATTCAGAACTTCTGCATTCTTTTCCCAACCTTGTTATCCCTAAGCCTGTCTCCTCCAAGCCTATTGTTCCCAAATTCCTGGGAAATTTCTGTGCACTACTGATTAATCTCCAACAAACAGATTAAGCAAAGTCAGATACATATCTTGAGGAACCTACAATTTAGGGAACTTTAATGAGAGAATGAAGACACTGTGAGCCTGAGGATTCTGAGATTGGCCAGACCACCAGACAGTGTCCCGAGATCGCCATGATAATATCAATTCTACACACCACCCCTCACCAAGTATTCTTTAAAAGAAGAGCCAGGAACCCCCAAGTCATGTCTCTCACCCTGGAGGTAGTCCAGATTCTCCCTTGAATGTGTCTCTACTTCCTAAATAAACCTCATTCTGTGCCTCTGATTGGGTGCCAAGAGCCCCACTGGTCCTGAGTCATGTTCTCCCTTCACTAAGGATCTCTTAGGACCTTTCTCTGGAGACACCTCTGTGTGACATGCCTGTCTCAGCGTCCAAAGCACCTGGGGTACAGTGATTTTTTTGAGGTGTTTGAGACTGAAAAGTAGGAAAGTGCTCTGCCACTGAGCTACACCTCCAGGCCATTTTAGTTTACTTTACAAGTTCTCATTAAGTTGCCCAGGTTGACACTGACATTCCAGGACTGGCTTCGAACTCCTGGGCTCACTTCATCCTCCTGAGTAGCTGGACTTCAGGACTAGGCCCCTGTGTAGGCATTTGGCTTGTCATTGATTACAGAATAAAGAGCCTGCCCTCTTGGAGGATTATAACCCTTGAGGTCAAGTTGTCATGAATATGCAAATAATTGTCACCATGTGTTGTGGAGCTGGGTCACCTCTGTTGGTCCAGCACAGCAGTGGGGGACATGGACCATTGGGTTGAGGAACATAGGTGCACCAATTCCTGAAGGAAGTGCTGAGGCTAGGGCGCTGCCTCTGTCGCTCATCGTACTGGTGCTACGTGGGAAGTATAGCTCACAGGCTCTCAGAGTGGGAAGTACAGTAGAAGCAGAAAGATGCAGAGCCAGGTGAAGTTATGAGACCAAAGAAACCCTGAGAGGAGCTCCAAGTTCAAGCTTGACTCTGCCAGCTAAGTGCTCTGGTGCAAGGGACTCTCTTCCTCAGCTTCAGTTTCTCCATGTGTCAAGTGAAGACTCATTTATTAACTCAGCTATTTGACAAGTGCTTTGGTGCATGATATGTGGCAGCTCTCATCTTAGGTTCTAATGATATGCATTGAGCGAGACCTGCAAGTTCCTGTTCTGATAGACCTTAAGTTTCTGTGAGGACCAAAACGAAAAATAAAGAAACCAATTCTGTTGTGATGAGTGTCACAGAACATAAGTGCAGGTGGTGTGATTACATGGCTGGGAAGGAAGGCTGTGGCATCTGAGCTCAGCCTGGCTGTAGAGGAGATGGTTACAGTGTGTCCCTCATAGGGACTCTGACAGAAGTAAACACGATGCCGAGGGCCTGGAGCCTACCAAGTGCTACCTCAGTGTTTTGTTTTTTTTTTTTTAAGAGAGAGAATTTTAATATTTATTTTTTAGTTTTCGGCAGACACAACATCTTTGTTTGTACGTGCTGCTGAGGATCGAACCTGGGCCGCACGCATGCCAGGTGAGCGCGCTACCGCTTGAGCCTCATCCCCAGCCCCCTCAGTGGTTTTGATATTGCTATTTCTGTCCTTTGTTTACTTATGTGTGGCTAGAAGTCTTGGAGGTGCTAGAATCCCTCTGAGCTTCTTAGGAGACCCACATTGCCAAGTCCTCTATCAGCCTCTGCCCACAGAGGCACCCTCTGCATCTTCATGACTCTGGTTCTAGGCCGTCTGGGAAACCTGCCTTGATTTCCAGTCAGAATGCACTGTGCCTAGTTTCTCTGTGCTTTTTAATCCCTCGCCCTTTTATACCTACTAGGGATGGTGATG